ATTAATATAAGATAAGATTCTCATCATAAGATAATTAAAATTTTATATTTCGACTAGTAAATAATACTACTAACAATAATAACTTATTTAACTACGGAAAATAAATTAATATCATTTCGTATTATAGATAAATATGGGTAATTTTTCATAGAATTTTAGTTTATAATTTAGAACTGGTTCAAATAAAAACCGCCGCCTAAGCCAGCGTTTTTATTATTTGTAATATTTAATATTTATAATATATAGAAATAGTAAACGATGTTTACAATAAGTGAACTGTTTAGGCTTACTATACTATTTGACACTGGACGGAAATGGGTTAATTGTAAAAAAAATTTCTAACACAACTTTTTGAACAATAATTATATACGTATTTCCATTTTATATAAAAATGATGATTCTTACATCAAAAATTTCTTATAAAATGCTAGGAAAATGCTGTAAAATACCCTTATGTTAAAAACAAGAAAGAAAGTAATGAAAACTTCAATTTATGTTAGTTTACGTATGTATAATATTTTAAAACTCTGCATGGTAGTTTTTTTCCTAATGTTTAAAATAATTTCTGGTGCAATGTAACTAAGGTAAAATTGCTCTAGTTTTTTAACCATCATCGATCATGTTCCTTTATCTATCCGCAGAAACTTGCTGCAACTTGATTGCGTACGGTGCGCGGGCTATCCTGTGAAATCTATGTTAAGTATTTTAAGTTTTAATAACATCATACAGGGTAGAAATATAAACTAATTATTCGTTATTGTGTAGTAGGTGGGTTTTAATTTTAGTGAAATTTAAAATACTATATAAAGTAAATGAAATTACAAATCATACATCGCCNCCACATCAACCCCCCCCATTTTTTCTGGGCCCCCTAGCGCCCCCCTCTAGGTTTCAAACGCCCCCAAGGGGGCGTTATCGCCCACTTTGAGAAAGACTGGTGTATATTTTGAATAAAGTCTACATTTGTACCCACCGTGTCGTTTCGTACCTTTTCATTTGATCACCCCTTGTAATTTCACTACTCCTTCATGCCTGACAAGTCTGGAGAATATGCGTTATTATTTGAACACTCAAAACATGTCGACTTTTATTTCCCTCATCATACTTTTTGAACCCAGTGAACTTTTTACCAATAATTATACTGTTTTACATTTAGGTCTTGATCAGTCTGATATATTTGTATATAGGAAATATTTTTGCTCACTTTACATAAGTCTTAGTATTAGTCTTACAAAGGAGCATTTAAAAATATATTTGTTCAGTTTTATGTTTCTATGTCCATCTGGCTTCACAGAGTGGTACCATAAAATACCTTTGGATGTCCCAAAATTTGAAGAAAAACTTTTGTATGCCTGTAGGAGGGTTACACTGTACTGAATAAAAAATGTTGATTCTTAAAAACCACATTTTTATCTATTTATTTTTGGGAAAATTATCAGTACAATTGCAATGCATGCAATCAATGAATGATAAGATCAAGAAAAAAAGAAATGAATTTATTAAGTAAAATGTATTTATTTCAAAAAAAGTTCAATTTTATTTTCTCAAAGTGAGTGCTAATTGCTAGCTGCAATATCAGTAATCAGTTAGTTTATCTTTTTATTGTACATTGCATCATTTGTTTATCTTGATTAGATTGAGCTTGTATATATTTTTATATTTTAGGTTGCTGAGTACGACACTGAGCATTTTTCAATTTTACCACAACTGCTTGAATTATGTAATCAAAATAAAGTACTTGAGTTTTCTGAAACTTACGATTTGAGGTAGGTAAAACATGTTGGGCATTTTTTTTTTAATATGAAGTATAAATTTAAGATAAAAAATAAGATTCTGTTAGAGATAATTATAAATAATTGGCTATGGACAATCTCGTAATTTATTCATTATCTATTGATATGTTTTTGGTTAAATTTAAATTCTTATTTTCCATAAAAAATCAATACTTTTAATGATCTAGCCTGTAAACTCAAAAATAGCATGCGAAATAAATGAAATAACATTAATACAAGAGTTGAAAACATATATAAGAAATTACATCATGTGAAAGATATTTTCAATACATTATGAATACAAAGATGAAACTTCAGGAATACTAAGAGGTATTTTGTCAGGATAGTGAACAAACTATGGCAAAAAAAAAAAAAAAAAATGGCTTAATAGCAGTGTTGTAATGAATTCTGTTAAGTAAGGAATAACAGCAATGATATAAATAATACACTTATGAGTGCCACTCTGATATTGAGGCATGGCTAAAATGTTCTGGGGGAGCTATTCATTTTAAAAAATTAGCGTAAACTATTTCAAAGTTTCATATCTAATGTTGATATAAAATTTCTCAAGTTCTTCAAAAAATTTCACTCGAGCCTATCTACTTTCACCCCTGTGTTACTCTTGTTTTGTGTATTGTAGTATTGTTCATCAATTTGCTTTTACTTATGAACTTTTTAGGCCGGAATAGCCTGGTTGGAAGGACATTAGTTTCACGTTTGTGATTTCAAATCCTGCCAGCCGAAAAATCCCTACATATTATATGGTAACTAGTGCACATTATATCTGTCGAGTTCACAGGGTTCTCCAACTTCCCATAACTAATCAATACAAATTAGAGATTGATGATTCTCTGGGCGGGACAGGATTATGATCTGTGGGTGAATGAATGAAGTATGAATGGGTCCACCCTGTAAAACAGGCTGTGACGAGTGTGTGGCTGAAGTCGTATTTTGGCCACAGATGGTGCCACTCAAAAACTCAGTTTTAATAGAATGGTGAATTTAAAATACGGCTAATCTTGTTATCTGAAAAGGATGTGAGGCATTTGCAAATTTACTATGTAATGAAACCTTATTTTTAAATAATTTCATGAAACAGTCAACTTATTAAATAAAAGCCATTAAAAGATTTTATATACAAATACCTTTTTTATTATGAGACAAATTCTAGTTACTCTTGTTGCAAAAAAGTATATTACTCCATTAACATTCCCTTTTCGAAGATTTGATAAGAAATTTTCGAAACCCATTATGAGTGTAAATAAGTTTATATTGGTGTATTTATTTAATTTCTTTAAAGCAAAAGTATTTTCCAGGATTAATAACAGGTGGAAAGCTCTCATTTTAGGCCATTACTAGTTTGCCTACAAGAATCATTATATCAAATTTTAAAAAAAAGGCATTTGTTTAAAATTTTCAAAATTCCAAAATTCAAGTTCAAGAATTCAAGAGCCTATTGACCAATTTTGATCTATATTTTGACCTATTTTGTTCAAATTTTGTATTTTTTCATATAAAATTATATTAAACTAATGTAAAAATAATAAATAATAATTTATTGTCAAAAAGTTTTTTCTTTTGCTTTGGATAAATAATGACTAACAACTGTGTGTAAAATATTTGGATTCTCTTTAAAAAAAAAAAAAGTAAGATATGGGGTATTACGCAAAAAGTAAAATTAACTTTAGGGGTCCTAATTTTCTTCTGTTCTGACCAAACTATTGAGGCCATATTTTCCAGAGTGTAGCTCCTCCCATATTTTAAGCAACAGGAATCCAAATCTGTTTTTTTTTTCTCTTTTTTTTAAAAAGATATATTAATTTATTGAAAGTACATTTATATCTCTGATTTTGTGACTTAAAATATTGTCTGCACTAAGTAATTAACATCTGGTGTCACCCCTTAAAATCCTTAAGTTTGAGTTCTAATGCACGAAAAGATTAAAAGTTATTTAGGGTGTTATGCCGTTTTTATGCACTGTACTTACAAATTTTTACTATACCTTTTAAATTTTTGTTATTAGCATGTAGAATTTCTATAAAATTACTCTCTGCAATAAGCATGTGTTGTTTTGATCTATAATTTTTGTTTTGTTGAGAAGAGATATGCTGAATTTGAGTTTATCTACTTTATTAAAACTTCTATCTTCTGTTAACTATTGCTGTTAGTTAAGTTTTATAGTTAAGTTTACTGTAAAAATAATTCAATAATCAGAAAAACTTGTTGTTACTCTTGTTACATAATTAAATTTTGACTAACTGTAGATGAATTGTATAGATCAGTTTCCATTCATATGAATATTTTTGATTTTAAAAAATATTTTTAATTTAAGATAAATATTAATACGTTTCTAATCATTCTTTTTGCATTTCACAGAATAATTGAATTTAACCTTTTTATCAAGTTGTAGATTTTTAATTATCAACTGAAAAACTTACTAATATTATAAGAAATACTTTAACTATGCAGACAGAGATATATGAATTGGTTTTTAAATATTGGCATAGAAATTCATAAATTTTTGGTTTAAAAAGTGTTATTTTCTAAACTATTTAAAAAATAAATTATAAACCGAGAAATATGAAATTCTTTCAGTTCAGTTTTCTTTGTACTTTCAACTAAAAAATTATGTCGGATATGTGAATTTAATTTGAAGAAAAAAAAATCAATACGTCTTACTTTCTGTGAAATTGCCCTATACATATATCAGTTATCTCTCTTTTTTGAAAACATCTAAAAATGGTCCTATGAAATACTTTTGAATATTTTTTTTTAATGTTTGATTTGGGGCTTAAATTATTATTTGACCTTTCATTTTAAATAAACAAAAAAAAAAAGAAGTTTTTTTTCCAACCTAAATTCCTTCCATTTCTTGGAATAAAGAAAACTAAGCATTTTCAGTCTTCATTTGTTCCATTTTTATAACCATACCTACGTTAAATTTATGTACATTTAAATTTGTTTCAGATTATTAATATTAATAAGATAAACACTTAGGAAGAAAAACTTATTTTGTAAAAATGTAACTTAAATTGCTTTATCTTGATAAAATGTCTTGTTTTGCAATGTTACAAGATTTCTTTATAAATATATTGTCCTTCTTAGATAAATTTAGTCATACTTTTAAAATAGTTGATAATTTTTTTCTTGATTGTGTGATAATCTTAAAAGATTAATTGGTGTTTGATAATGTTTGATTGTTCTTATGTAAATAGAGTTTATAGACTGTTTCTTGTCTAAATTTATTGTAATTTGCATTATTGACTGTATGTTATTGATAAAAATAGGCAGAATTTATTTCAAATTATCTTTCCATACATACTTTATAAATTTTTAATATGAGATAACATAACTTTTGGAAGTTTTCATGTTTATAATTATTTTTCTCTCAATTTTTATGTATATTTTTTAACTTGATTAGTTTGCATATTTATATACTTTCAGAAAAACAGGCTTTAAAAAAATTGGCGAAGGATCCTATGGTGAAGTTTTTTGTTTGACTCAACAGAAGAAATCTTTCATCATTAAAGTTATCCCTATTTCCGACCAGTTTTCAGACAGCTTGCAGAGTATGGCTAGTGTTTATTCCGAAATAAAAGTTTCTCTGTAAGTTTGATTTGTCCTTATTTTAACTATATTAAATATTAATTTGTTTTATCACAGTGGCCATCGATCTGGAAAATCTGGAATTATCAGGGAATTTTTTTATTTTGGTGGAAACCTGGAAAACTTAGGGAAATTTATTAAAAACATGGAAAAATCTGAGAATTTTAAAGAAAAGCTGGAATCTTTTTCTGAATTTAAATTATTTTGCCTTCTGTTATACCCACTTTTTTAGACAAACATTTATTGTCAAACTGTTGAAATATCATCAACTTAGCAATACTTTGTTTGTATTAAAATTTGTTCCATTATAACTTTGTTAAACTAGAATGCCACATGGAACTTTCCCTTGGTTTCTAAATGAATGGGGAAAACTTCGACGTTAGGGTATTTGCTTCAGTTTATAAAAGTAGTTTTTTTCTTTTAGTCCATGGCTTGAATCCATTTATTGTTCAAAATGTTCCAATGCTTTAGGGGTATTTTTTTTTTTGTTGACAAAATGATTCAAAGTGCTTTAGTATTTTTAACTTTATAAAATTCTCCGAAAATTAGTTGGTTATAATTTAATAATAGATTTTATATTGCGCTACTTTTCTAAAGGCTTTTGTACTCCCATCCAATGAAAGCTGCATTATTTTTTCTCAGTTAAGCTGACCTATGAATCACTCTTTTTCTTACAATTGCTAAGAGCAGTGTTTGTTGACAAGTCATTACAATTGTTGCATAGTTACTAATTTTCTCAATTTCATTTTGACCTTTTATAATATACAGGGTTGGCAGGTTTTTGACATGTAACAGTTTTTGACGGTTTAAACCGTCACGTCAAAAACCTCACTGTCAAAAATGTCAAAAACCTATATTCATATGTGAAATTTAATTAATACATAAAATTTATATATTTTCTATAAAGGATAGTGTTTCTAAATATGTTCTAGAAAAAATAAATTTAAAATTCTGAAGAAATACTTATATTTTGAATAGTAACCAAAATCTTGTACTTTTGAAAACTCACATCTTTTGTAATACTGACTTTTAAAGAACGATAGTNGAGATTTTAAATCTGTTATTTTACCTTAATTTTAATTAAAAAATATTTTAAAACCTGCTGATTACCTATAGTATAATTAAATTTCAATATAATGCATGGCAACTGCTGTTAGTTTTGAAGTTCATATATTTTCTTGGCAAACTTCAGTTTTTGACGGGTTTTTGACTGTTTAAACCAGTATTATACCCTTGTCATGTCAAAAACCACTTTTTGACGTCAAAAACCCAATTCTGATAATATATCTTACTTAAAAAAGGTTCTTTATGAATCAACTGTATGCTGACATTAATTTTAATGTTCTGTTGGTAAATATTTGATTTTTGATTCAAACTTGGAATTGTGTAGTAATCTCGAAAAGAGAATGTCAAAAGTTCATAAATGTTGCTTGCATTCCAGAGATGATATTTCCAAAAAATATCTCTCCTTTTACCCTAAAAAGCTGGCAAAAAATAAGGAATGTATGGGAATTATTTTAAATGATGTATAAACATGGAATATGACATTTTTTTTATGCTTCCCGTTATGGGTACATGTTTCTAGTTAAGTGATTTCATGGTAAGGTCAACCAGGTGGCGACTTTACACATTGTCGACTCCCGGGCACCTCCACTGGCCGCGGTTTTATTTGTCAACTGTTTCACCGCCTTATCTAGTAACCCTCACTCAGAGGCAACCCTACGCTCGCCGCAATACAGTACTCGCAAAAGTCATAAACGAATCTTCGCGCTCATGGATATTTTTAAAAGTTGCTTGTTGAATTTGGTTAAAATTTTATCCTCTATTAAGACTA